GACCGGGACCCTCCAAGCTCGCCCTCGCTCCCGCCCTCCCGAATGCCGGGACACCCAATCCCGGGCGCCGTCTCATCGAGTCCAGGCACCCGGAAAGATGAGAGAAGAGCGCTGATTGGCCGCCCGTCCCTTCCGCCACTCCCAGAGAACACTGAACCTTCTCCGCGAGGGACGCCAGTGCTCCCAGGTCCCCCTCCCCGTCGTCCCCAGGTGCCCTGGAGCCCCCGGACCTGAACATCCTCGTTGCGAAGCTCGTCTATGAGCACCGCGATGGGGTAGAGCGAGTCGTCGCCGTCGGCCGCCGCCATCTTGGCTCCGTGCAGTTCCTGTCAGCCTGCGGCCAGGGCCGTGCTAAAAACGGGCAGGGAGGGGCTGAGCCAGGAGGAGGAAAGGAGGACGCGGGGGCGCCCGAACCACTTTACAGGGGTTGTCCTACAGTCATTGGCCGCGCTCTGCTGGGCCAAGCCTGCGTTTCTTTGGTCCGGACAAATGAAGACCCGCCCACTGCCCATTTGCCATTGGTCGAAGGGACGAGATTAAGCTCGCCGAGTCTAGGAGATGGAGAGGAGGAAACGGAAGCACGCGGTATCTTAGCGACCAATATTGTACCCGCCTACGTCGCCGCTAACGACGGTCTTGACGAGCAGCTGTTCCTAGCCAATGAAGGGCAGGATTGGAAGGAGGAGAAGACTGCCCTTCTCCGAGTCCTGGAGAAAGCTTCTGCGCGTGCGTGGGTAGGGATGCATGAGGTCATGTAGGGACCAGAACAATCTGCGGGTTTTGGCTTGTGAGGCACTAACCTCTCTCGCTGGCGGGCGGAGTCCCAGAGTCTTTGTGCGGGCGGAGGAGGGAGTGAGTCTCTGATTTATGCCTTATCATGCGGAGGCCCAGAGAAGGGTGGCGACTTGCCTTACTCTCTGGATAAAACCCAAACCCCGCAGGCTGGTATGTGGATCTGATTCCTGAATCCTCGCTAGGAACGTCTCCCACCTGCCCTTGTTACTCTTAATCAGTTGAGGAAAATTATCTGCCTGAGCACATCATGCCTCTTCATGCCAGCAAGCTTTTGCCCAAACCATACCTTCTATTTGGAGAGCAGTTGCTGTTAAATTGTCTGATCGCTACATAAATGTCTCCCCTTCCCTGTCCCTCTTTCTGCTCCGTCCTCAAGCCCCCAGAGCTACATAACCCCACTCAGTCTCTGTCTCTTTCTCTCCTCTCAAAATTTCTGTCCCTGGAGCTGCTGCTGTGGCTCTGCTTTAGCATCTGTCTCTTGCCATAGAGTGAGAGCACCGTTGAGTCTGACTCATCTCTGTTCGTAGCCTCACTCAACACAGCCCCTTCACCTGAGATCTCAGGGGGGGATGGGGAGGCCTGGGATGCCCCTTCCCCCTTTATTGTGCCACTTCAAGGGCACAGCTGAGCTAGGACTCCTGGACAGGAACAAGCGTCTTTCCCAAAGACCCCTATCCACTCCACTTAGGAAACTACTCCCTATAAAAGGGGTGGGGCAGGGATTGCTTTGCATATTTAAATCCTTGCCCTCCTTATTCCCATGGTCCTCCCCTCACCCCAACCCGACCAGCCCACTGAGGCCATGGGCCTTAAATATCTTGAAATTTTATTTGTCAATTATACCTCAATAAAGCGTCCCCTAGCCCCCAAGGGGGAAAAAAAGAGTCCCAAGTGTGTCATGCAGAGCAAATCCCACAGATGCAATCAGCAGCTTGATTCTGGTCAGACTCTTCAAAGAGCAGGCCCTACCCATGAGCATCTAAATGAGTGACCCAGACAGTTCTCTCAGCACTGCAATTTGCTTCCACAGTTCACATCGTAAAAGAGGGATGTTCTTAATCTAACAGCCCACAGTTTCCCAAGTGACATATGAAACAGCGAGACCACTGGCAGCAGTCCAGAGACCCGATATCTGACCAGTAATGGGAACAACCACACACTTGGTGCAGAGCCAGCACTAAACAGCCACAGTGGCCCAGGGGACACCACTAGGTTTCAGCCTACCTAAACCAGCAGTGAGCCAGCGCTGTGCACTTAGGGAAATCACAGAGCATTGAGGGTTCGTAGTGCCAGTGACTTGGGCTATAGTCTAGAGCTTAAAATCTCCCCGAAAAGGAATAGGTACCACCTCTTCTCGTAAAGCCAGGATGTTGCTGGAGCCAGTCTGGCTTCATTCTCAAGTAAGTGCTTTCCATCAGATACAGGACTTAGGGGGCCCTTCCCACCTGGTTAGTAGTAGAATCCAAGTTAA